TGATGGTGTCCCGGTCCTGTTGTGATGGTGTCCTGGTCATGTTTTGGCGGTGTGCCGGTTATGTTTTGATGGTGTCCGGGTCATGTGACGGTGCCCCGGTCATGTTGTGATGGTGCCCTGGTCATCTTGTGATGGTTTTCCCGTCATGTCATGTTGGTGTCCCGGTCACCTTGTGATGGTGTCCCGGTCATGTTGTGATTGTGTCCCAGTCATGTTGTGACGGTGTCCCAGTCATGTTGTGATGGTGCCTTGGTCATTTTGTGGTGGTGTCTCGGTTATGTGATGATGGTGTCCAAGGAAGAGATGGTCGATGTGTTGAAAACAGCAGCTGTTTCCAGATTTTTCTTTTTGTCCCGGTGTATCTTGCTATTGGGGTCTCCAGCTGGGCTAATTGTGAATTGTTTTTGGTCCTGTGAAATATCTGTGAAGATGTTTTGGGACTTGAGTACTCAAGTTCAGCAGGATCGCTTTTTCCTTGAGGCAGCCTTGGCCGCTGAATACTTGAGTCGACTTTCGCTTTGCTGCCTGGACCACAGGTTGTTGCGGTAATAGCTTTTTGGATGAGCCAGGACGTTCTCGTCACCGATTGGTCGGAAACGGCAAAGAGGCGAGCTTATATTGCGGTGTGTTTTGTAGAGTTGAGCCGAACAATTGTTATTTTCTTGAATGAGCGCATTTCATTTGCTTTGTGTTCACTAAACCAGTGCGCCCACTCATTGCAGTTTTTCCCCGAATGCGTAGCGAAGGCTTCTCGTTTATTTGGGACTCTGAGGGTAGAGCGTTGTTCGCGTTCATGTTGGCAACCGTTTGTCGCCGTTGGCACCCGTCCGCAACCGTTCGCAAGCGACCGCATCTGATCTTACAAGAGTGTCCCACAAGAGTGTCGAACAATGTTTGGCCGTTTGTTTTCGAGTGCATGTGTGTATTTGGGATTGTGGGCTTTTGGAGATGAGGCCCAACGCAGCCACTTTTTCCATTTGCTTTTGACTCCCAATCCTTTGTGCCTGTTGCAGGGCTGCCAAGTTGATAATATTATTCAACGTCATGAAAGTTGAACAACGTCACGAAAGGAACACTCAGCCAGTGGAGTCCAATCCTTTTACAGTGACTGTACAACTGGCAGCACTTCCTTTTCGGTACAATGCCATTTAGATTGTTTTCAATGTTTGGCAGTTTGGACGCAGACGCGTTCGTTTTCCACCCCTCAGTTGACTTTCTGTTGAATTTTCATATGGGAGTTGGCTACCTACATGCCTACACGCTGCCTTTTTATGAGCATCTCTATAGGCCCCATAGTCGTCATGCAGCCCAGGTAGCACTAAGTGCATTATTCAATCTTGGACAGACAGATTATTCCAAAGTATTGAACAGAGTATACAAACCTTCGCACAGGCCGCCACAGGCCTGGTTGACTCCTCTTCGCTTATGAAGGAGAGAAGCTAGACTGCTGAGACAAATCTTTGCCAACCTTTTGGTCAAGGCTCCCCATTCCTTCAGGCTACATTTTTTTGGGGACAGTCTGATATATATGATATCCTGTTTTCAGTCCCTGCTCTTTCCACACAGTTTGCGCTCGATGTTCTGTATGTATATATCATCAAGCCTGGCGAGGCAATGGGTTGTGCAGTGTTGACATAGATCACTCAGACTCCGATCATTCTCCATCAAAGCCTCTGTATCTCCACTGAAAACGACCTACGCCCTTGCTTGCTGGACCCTGCCTGTACAACGAGGATTGTCGGGCGGGTAACACTTGTCTTCCGATGAAGGTTTTGATAATATCCTCTGGAGAAGGATTTCCTGTGAATTCTGCCAAGTTCAAGGGGAGGAAGTGCAGCTCTTGAGTAGCTTTGACTCGACTGGCTGCGACATTGCTTTCATGCATTGTCCAATCTCACATCCCTCGCCAATTGAATGCAATTCAACTTGCTTGACCAACTCCGGTATCAATCCCACCCAGAACTCCAAGCGCAATGTTTGTTAAGCTGGCTAGTCCTTGTTCCTTCGGAAGGGCGAAGGTTGACAAGGCGCATGAAGACGATCGCCGAGAAAGTAACCAAGATAGGTTTCTTTGTAATAGAAGAACAAGTCTACACGTTGGCTCTTGATGTTGCTTCGTGCACAGAAAGAACACTTGGGCTATCAACAGCAGAGCCTGCAGATAAACGGCATTTTTGTTCCTCTCCGACCTTCTCTTTCTTTGACGCATTGCAAGTCCGCCAGATGCCTTTTGATTGCACCAAGCTGACAACTTCTGCCACGACATTTGTGACCTCATATCAGCCTTAGCTTGCTCCAATGAAAGCTAAGACAAATCAGACATGGAGGACATGTCCCTATCGAAATGGATGAATTGCAAGGTCGTTTCTTGTCGTCTGAATATCGAGTGTATTGCCAAACACCCCCATGACAGGAACTGTCACACAAAGTGGCCAGCCACTGGCAGCCCGAAGTACTCCTTGATGGCCGCTGATATGCCCTGTACATCAAGGACCTGCGCAATGCTTGTTGAGTGTTGCAGCTGTGAATCAATAACAAGCGATTGTGCCTCTGTAGCCATTCTGACCCGAGCTTGTACTCAAGGTCAAACAACATAGCAGAGGTTTGCGCATCATGAGCATGGATAAGATGGAGGACTACATCTACCGCGGAGCTGCCTCTCCAACTCATGTCTTTCCTCGTGGGAGGAGCTCCAATCATGAACAGCACCTGCGAGGTCAAACAGCCGATTCGCAATATGTTTCTTGGTCGACCAATTGGTCTATTGCTGCCAGGTTTGGGCTGGACTACTGCGCAGATCAGCCTATTGTCTTGCGGGTGGCCAGAAAGTATTTGGAAAGATGTTCTTGCGAAGATGCTGAGAAGACAGTGAAGGATAAGGGCTTAGAATCTGACCTGAAAGCCAAATTCAACGAATCTGAGATCAGCTACTTTGGACATGCTTACGAAGAAGAGGTCAAGAGGCACTGTGAAGTGCTTGTTTTGGATAAAAAGTCTGCCAAGGTGGATCTTGAAGGCTGGTACAAGGTTGATGTGAAGACGGGTGAGATCGGTGAGCTGGCTGACAAGGGAGAGATGTCCTCACATGATCGTTTAATGTTCGAGGTGGTGGGTTTACCGGTGCCCAAAGACTTTGCTGAACGACCTCCAGAAATTGGGTGAATCTGAGAGGACAGCTGGCTGTTCTGCGTTGGAAAAGATCCGAAAAGGATTGCGTGTTTGTACATCTGCCGTAGGATAATCATTGGCAACGACACTTCGCTGCATTGTGTCTTCAGCTTTCAGTATCCTCCCCACTTAGCTTTGCAGGGCTTTCCTGCAGTGAAGACAGACGGGGAAGCACTTGGAGACGCCCTTGCGATCCTTGCGGCCTCGCCAAGATGGTTTTATCGATTCCTGTCGAGGTATTTTGCATACTTATATACATGTTTTGATGAACCTGTTCTTGAGTAGGGTCTATGTGGTGTGAGAGAGAAGATCGTTCCACCTAAAAATCTACTGGGCACTTGGCATAAACTGCGCTCTCCTGTTGCCGAGGATTGTTATTGTTTTCAGCCCATGCGGTTGTTTAAGCTACCGGCGCTGTTACCCTATCCGATGGCACCTGATGGCAAGATTGCCATTTTTGCAGACAGCGCCTGAGCAAAGGGTTCAACTTACATCATATCCAGAGTTGCATTTTCCACAGCAGCACATCTTCACATCTACACATCTTTACATCTCACATCTTGACATCCGTGCATATCCAGACATGCCCATCTTCACACCCTGCACATCTTCAAAGTTGGCATCTCCAAAGACAGGGAATGGATGTTTGATTTTGACGTTGAAGAGGAACTGTGAATCGAACAACCCCTGCCCCAGGAGCTGTCGCATGACGTGCAGCCATCGTAACGCGCCTAGCCCTATGGATCGCCAGGTCGAGGGCTCAGCCGATCAAACTTTAGTGACGACTCGACTCGAAGCCTGCGATGGCTTCAGTTGCCTTTCGCCGCAGTTTGACTGCTCTGAACTTCGAGGACTTTAGTTGGATGGACTGTTGGATGCTGACTTGGTGGATGTTGCAGCTTTGGGAGGAAAAAAGTGCGGAGGTGCTGTTCTCCACAGGAACAGCTAGATTTGGAGAAAGTGCTCACCAATTTCAACCAGAAGAGCCATGGCGCATGTCACGCAAATGATGATTATTTGGAACACCTTTGCGTCATATTGCCACCACAGACTGGTACACATATCGTTGGGGGTCGAAGGCCGAGTTTCTGATGTTTTTAAATTGGGACTTACAGGTTGTTCACAAGGCCTTTCCATAGGTCTTCACCTCACTCCCTTGTACCAGGTTGACACGTCATTTTCCAAGCTAATTTCCATTGTCGTCTCTTTTGGCTTCACCTGCGGTCATCTCTCTGTAGCTTGCTTAGTGTGCTTCATCTCCTTAATGTTTTTCGTCCAGACGGTTATCAGCCTCACCTGGTCTTAACCACGCCTTGTCGTGTCGGCGCAACGAGTAGTATGCACTTGTCGGGCTTGAAAGACCCAAACCTCCAGCGTGAGGCCTCACGTTGGGATTTGACGCAAGTTTGCTTGCAGTTTGTAGAATCTGGTTTGTGCGGAAAGTCTGGTCTTCAAGCGAAGGACAAGTACCTAACCACTCCTCACCTTACCTCACCTCACCTCAATTCACACACTCCCGACAACCCGCCCTTCACACTGCATCGCATTCACATCTCGTGTCAAACCCTTTTAACTAGGTGTTTCCTTTGTGCCCAGGCATGTGGGCCTAAATCCTGAGACAACATATATGTTTTTTCCCCAAACAGTTTACTGTTGGGGTTCTATCTTAGAAAGAAAAGAGCTGGCCACAACTCTGTGGCTGGGCTCTGTGGCTGGGCTTTGCCCTCCTCTTGTCCTGCCCCTGAACTCTGTCAACTCTGTGGCTGGGCTCTGTGGCTGGGCCTTGTCCTCCTCTTGTCCTCCTCTTGGCCACAGAGAGAGAGAGAGAGAGAGAGAAAGAAAGAAAGAAAGAAAGAAAGAAGGAAGGAAGGAAGGAAGGAAAGAAAGAAAGAAAAAAAGAAAGAAAGAAAGCAGGGCGAGCGCGCGTGCGCTCGTGTGCTATGGACGGCGCGCTCACGCTCCAGAAAGGCGCGCTTAGAGCGCGCTCTGCAGAGAGAAAGACAGAGAAAGAGAACCTTAAAGAGAAAGAGAGAGAGAGAGAGAGAAAGCGCGCGCGCGAGAGAGAGAGAGAGAGAGAGACAGAAAGAAAGAAAGAAAGAAAGAAAGAAAAGAAAAGAAAAGAAAAGAAAAGAAAAGAAAAGAAAGAAAGAAAGAAAGACAGACAGACAGACAGACAGACAGAAAGAAAGAAAGAAAGACAGAAAGAGAGCAGGGCGCGCGCGCTCGCGTGCTTTGGACGGCGCGCTCTGGCGCGCTCTGAAATACGTTCCAGACAGAGAAAGAGAAACTTAGAGAGAGAGAGAGAGAGCGAGAGCGAGAGCAGGGCAAGCGCGCGCGCTCGTGTGCTATGGACGGCTTACTGGGCTCTTGTCCTCCTCTTGTCCTCTGTGCTGGGCTGTGGCTGGGCCTTGTCCTCTTCTTGTCCTTGTCTTGGCCGCGCCCCTGAACTCTGTGGCTGGGCTCTGTGGCCCGGCTCTGTGTCCTTCTTGTCCTCCTCTTGTCCTTGTCTTGGCCGCGCCCCTGAACTCTGTGGCTGGTCTCTGTGGCCCGGCTTACTGGAGAGGAGTGTGGCCGAAAAAATAGCGGTGTCAATGCCGACAAAAATTCATTGATGAAACAATTTGCTCTTGGGATGAAAGTAGGGCGAACCAAGAAATCGATTTTTGAAGCTGTTTGGGGTCTACGCTTGTATAATTATTGTTTCTTTTCTTCCCAGCTGAATGTCTCTTCCCCTGCATTGGGTGAAGAGTAGCGGGAAAGCTCTACATGGCACAAAACTTCTCACCAGACTGGGTGTAGAAAAACGAAGCATGAGTTTTTCCAGTGACAATTTGTGGAGTATAGGGGGGGGGGATGGTGGCTTGAGTATGCCATTTTGGGTCAAGCCACCTTCCCCCGTGGCTTCATTTTGAGGCCATGGGATTTGTTAGGTGGGCCTGCCTTTTTGCGGGCCTTTGGATTTTCGGGCATGTTCCCCGCGGAGGGGGCAGCATTAGCCATGTCACGCGTGGTGGAGCTGAAACATTTCTACGGCGTGTCGGACGGCCTGTGGCGTGCCTTTGTGGCGGAAGCGGGCTGCGCTTCCGGGCGAGGCAGTAGCTGCTTCCTTGGATCAGGCCATGCTCGACGGCCACCAACCTTCGATCCAAGCGGCCCAGGTGGGGTTGATTTGGAAACTGGAAAATAGGATCATGTACACCCGCGGAGGTGGGGCCTGGAACACCTGGCAGGAAGAGGATGCATGGACATCAACGGATACAGCGTCCTCATCAAGGCCAAGCGCGCCAGCCACGGAGACACCCGCCGGGGAGGGCACGAAGGACCGGAAATTGAAATGTTCACAAATCATCGGCCAGGGGGACGACTCAGAGTTCACCGTCCTCCCGGAAGAGAAGAAAAGGCTATGGCTCCAGCAGTATGTACAGCTGACTGGAGCCGTACCAGAGGAAGAGGAAGAGCCAACCTTGGAACAGTTGAGCGCATTACGCAAGAGGCAGAAGGCTTGACGCCTTACGTGGACCTATAGGCGGTATGGGTCCCCTTCGGAAGGAAGGCGCTGAGATCTTCGAAGTTCAGGACTTGGATTCCCACGGCCGAGGGCTACACAGCGAAGGGCCTGCTTCAGGGTCTTCATAACCGCCATGCTGATGCTGAAGGAGAGCGCACTTGCACCGTTGCACGCCTACGAACTGTACATCGAGAAGCTTGCAAGGCTATACCCAGAAGCTTGGCACCTGGTCTACACGGCAGCCGAGATGGCAAGAGGGGACATCTCAGCGCGCATCAAGATTAGGATGACGATGGACATCGAAGCGGTGAGGCCTACGCCTACGACCTACGATGTGGCAAAACCTGGGGAATCAATCTACAAGCTGCTGTCCCAGGAGATGGCCTCGAATTTACGTTGATCGATATCTCCGATGCCTACATGCATTTGGCAGTACACAACTCCGAACTTCCTCATTGTCTATCCCCCGGAGTTGAAGGGATGGACCACGACTACATCATGTTCATCGCCCTCCTTTTCGGATTCAAAACAGCTCCATTGACGTGGAGCAGGGTGGCGGCCTTGGTGGCACGATTAGTGCAAAGCTTAGTGCCAACCAACGAAGGTCGCCACCAAGTGTACCTAGATGATAGTTTATGGATTTTAGCAGGTACACTGAAAAGGAGATCCGAACTGCTCTCGTGCATCCTCACCACAATGGCTGCAATCTGTCGAAGGGCGAGCGCTCCATACAAGTGACATGGGTGGGGTTAAGTTCAAACTACAACCACCACACTTCGACGCCCTCCTCCTCAGCCTGCCAGAAAAGTTCATCAAAGAGCTTCAAGAACAGCTGAAAATCTGGGAAGGAAAGGGGATGATCGCAGTCAGCGAACTACGCAAGCTGGCCGGCAGGGTAGCTTGGTTAGCGGGTGTCCTGGTACGAGCTCGATGGACAACACCAATGTTCTGTCGAGCGCGCAAGAGTTTGGCTGGTCCATTTCTTGGCGGCGGCGATGGGGCGCCCGGTACGGAAGTTCACACTCAAGCCCGGGCAGGCGACGGCCAAGATCCTGACAGACGCTTCACCCACGGGACTGGGGGCCATCTTGGTCGTGAACGGCAAGGTCACGAAGGCACTGGTGTCGCCGGTGACACGAAGATGCTTGCGTCCTCCCCTTTGACCTGGGCACCTCAGCCTCTCAGGCCATCGTTGAAACGTTGGTCATCCTCGTGGCCCTAAAGCGTTGGGAGAAATTGCTGCTGAACGTGGGCCTGGACATCATCGTACAGAGCGATTCGATGACAGCATTGGCAGTCACGCAAAAGTACTCCAACTCCAGCAAGGCCCTCAACTTCTTGGGCGGTGTCCTTGCCATCCAAATGGAAAGCATGGGCTTGGCCGCTCTCACCCCGACGCACATTCCAGGCACGGCCAACAAGGAGGCCGACTATCTGTCGAGACCCGAAACTTGGGCTTCGACGGAACTCCCAAAGGAACTGGCTGGCATACAGATCGAAACGCCAGCCGGCAGACCCCGCGAGCGGTGCACCTTGGAACCTCTGGCCACTGACGCCGAAGGTTGGGGTGAAGCCACCGCCCTCGCCGCACCTTGGGCAAACCGTCCCTGACGGGAGCCGAGCACTGAAAAGGGCGAGGTAAGGGTGACTTGGGAGAGGGCAGGTTTTGGGATAGGATCCAAGGACGGACCTCCGTCCCAGGACCTCATCCTGGCCGCGATCGAGGCGCCTCCCTCTTCATGGTGGGATTACATTGCGTTTTATACTTCCTAGGGCTCGGCGTGATGACACACCTATACCTTATGGTACGATGCGGTTGCCTGGCGCTCGACATTCACTACGGCACGAAGGAAGACCAGGACGACTCGCGGATCACTCCATGGCAAGCACAGGGCGGGGCGTCCAATCAGGAGAGCAATTTCAGACACAGAGATGGATTCAACATCGCCATGGAGCACCTCCTCACCAGGACTTCACACTCTGCTTACGCTGAACGGGTCACAGATGATCGAATGGTTTCCACAAACACCAGCGAGGGCCTTACCTTCGGATTTGGCCAGTTCACCCAGATTGACAGAGCCGGAGAGGAGGACAAGCGGAACACCAATGAGGAGTTCACCACCGTGGAGGGAGACCGTGAGGGGAGCCGACTTGGGAATGGCGAGACTGGTGACTCGGAGGCTCAACGCCAAGGAATCTTGGGAACTCTAGGAGAAGAAGCCGACGTTGAAGGAGGAGAGATTGCGGAGGAAGAGAAGTTGAAGGAAGCAGACAAGTTCCCCCCTACGCCACCGAAAGGTTTGACAAAGTTCCAGAATCATGGGCTGGCCAAACTGGTCAAGAAACGACGTCATCCACGAGTCCATCAGAGACCAGAAGGGAAAGACTGGCCTGGACAAGGACGTCAAGCAGAAGGGGATAGAAGGAAAAGAAAGCGCATGGACCTGCTAGAACTGCCGATTGAAGAAAAGGAGGCACAAGGAGGCAAAGGCAGGCGAGCAGGGCATGCCAAAAGGGTGGCGTTGGCCTTGGCCCGCGACAGGAACAAGTGGGTGAAGTCCATCGCAAATTTGAGACAATCCTTCTTGGCGAACTCCTCGAGGAAGGCGAAGGCATCGATCAGAAGGACAGTACAAAACATCTTGGACAAGGTGGGAGGGGAACGCAAAAGGCATGCCTGCATCACACTAGACGACGTGGAGAAGGTGGGCGCTGTATTGAAGGAAGCTCAATACAAAGCGGGGCCGACCTATCTGGCGGAGCTACAGCTCATGTTGGTGGAGGCAGGTGGAGTGTGGAGCCAGCAACACGAACGAATGCAGGCCCAGGTGTCGAGAGCACTCAAAAGGGCCAGAGAGGTCCCGCAAAGAAAGCGGCAGAAGTTCCTGAAGAAAGGTGGTTGGTGACGAAAGCAAAAGAGACCAATTCGACCACGGAGAAGGGCAGGGTGCACAAACCGGCATTGTTATTTGCTTTTGCCTCCATGTGGACGCTACGACCTGGTGATGAAGGAAGATATTCGGATACAGGAAGGCGGCAAAATCACGTCACTCTATCTGAGAGCGTCGAAGAAGGACACCGAGGCTTTGGGATGCAGGAGCACACTACAATGCTCTTGCATGGGCGAGTGCGATAGTTCAATAGCCTGCCCCTTTGCAATTTCAAAAGAATTATTGGATGAGATGACGATAGAGGACACGCGTGTGGCAAAGTTGGCGGAAGGAGACCCCGCCTCAAAGGACGACGTCACCAAAGCCTGGCAGAACCTCTACGGCAAGAAGGTGACAGGCCATTCAGCGAGGAGATCGGGGGCCCTGCAATACATCAGACGGGGTTGGCATGTACCACAAGTGGCATATTTGGGACGCTGGAAATCGATTGTCATCCTGCAATAATCTGCAATATGCAGAGGAAGCCTTGGCAACCATGCCGGTGATGCCATCGAGTACCTTGAATCAGACAGTCGCACATCACGACCAAGGGATGAATCAAGGAAGCAATTGAATGACACTGAGATTGCGCAGCTCAAGGTGGCGAAGGAAAACTGGGCAAAGCGCACGAAGAAACTTCAAAGCGAAGTCGAGGCACTCAAGGCGGCTCAGGACAAATTAGAAGCATCAGTCAAACAATGGGACGAGGTAGCAGGCCAGAACATGGGCTTACTGCCACCCATCATCGTCTCGAAGTCGGGACTGGTGCACGAGAACATCCGACAGCCTGTAGCTTCACCTGTGGTCACGTGGCGCACAAAATGTGGGTGGCCATACGGATCTTCGAACTTCACCTTCGGTTACGGCAAAGACAGAATCACCTGCCAGAAATGTCTGAACCCAGGCCTTGCGCTACGCAATGAGGCAGGATTGAACAAAGCTGGAGCCTGAAAGGTGGAAACTGGCATACTCATGAGATGAGCAACACTGCAACACGTGACCAACGCTGAAAATATGTGCTCCCTACTTGGTGGACATACGGAACCTTGTCACCCATTTAAATGTGCTCTACCTTAAATATACGTATGCGTGAGGTATGGAGGACAGGTAAACGACAGTTTCTTTTTGGTTTGTTGGACTCATGGACCCCATGGGTCTCCTTTTGTTTTGAAGGTTTGGAAAGCCAGAATATCCTGGCATCTGGTCCTCAATGCAAGAGCCCAAAACCAATCGGTAGGGTCTCAATACGTACATGTAAAAGCGACATTGCCAACAGAATCACAATGAGGAACAGCAGCAAAAAGTGCTGCCTGAATCTCAGTAAAACAGCGCGGCCCTTGTGCGTTTACAGCAAGCAGGAGCAAGAGCATCAACAGAATCTACAAGTCTTGTGAGTGCCAGCAGACACGCTGGTGGTGGACAGCCTGGTCAGATGAAGACCAGTTGCGTCGAAGGGAATGAAGGATCACAGCTGCTTTTGATGAAACTAATCAATAGACGAAAAGAGACATTGTTGTCCTTAGGACGTCATGCGCAGCAGCAGTAGAGCACGACGGATTGACCCCCGCATGAAAGCATTTGGCTCTGTCACGCAGATTCAAAGTAGCTGCATAGCTCGCGCTGACTCATGCCGCTAAGCGGCGGAGGTGCTGAGGGAGCCAAACGCTTTCTTGCAAAAACTGCAAAGATGAGAGCAGATTCTCCAGCACATCACCCCCCGGGTGCCACTTGGCATTGAACTCTGCGGAGACTGTGTTGATCATCTCAGTCTCATGTGCTGCTGTTGGTCGCCTTGAGCTGCTGTGTTTTGTTGGCACTGGGTGTGAATGAAATAAGTTGAAGTATTTAATGAACGGACTCAAAGTTGTAGCTTTTTGACGCGCAAAAGAATGAGGCCGTCCTGGAGGATGAATGGTCGATGCACGGCTTGCAGTCGCACGACTATCCCAGAGGCTGCCTTTACTTTTTGGTTGTCTTCTTGTTGGCAGTTTTCAAGTTAAGACCGCAAACTGGCGTTGGAACTGACCAGGTCGCTCCCAGCCGCAATTTTTTGCGGTTGAGCGCCGTCAAAGCCTTTCCCATTCACCACATGGATCCTGTGCCTCTCCGGGAACCCCCAGTGAGGTGGCTGGGTCAGACAGGATAGCCTTCGGGCGGCGCTGTAGTTCTCCCTGCAGTAGCTCGACAACACGGAGCAGGCGCTCTGCGGTGCAACCCTTCAGTAAAGTAGCCCGGCTTGGGTTTGTCAACTTTGATCCCACTGCCTCGCGGTCCTGTTTCAATGCTTGCCGACTTGACAAGTTTCCAACCGATTGCTAAGGACTTCAGGGAACACAAAGACTTCAAGCGACCCAAGGACTTCGGCCTGAAGGGCACGAGTGACGACCTGTCCTTTTCTAAATTATATTTGAGCAGTCTTTTTCAAAACCAATCTGACGAAACTTCCTTTTTGATGGGTTCTCAGATTAGATGGGTCTTCGAGTTTTATACAGTAAATCCACCTCAGCTATATAAAAGTATTGTAATGGTTTGCGCGACACCTCAGCTCTTTGTGTTGTTTCACTGTAGTACCACTGACAAAAAACATCAACCTGCTCAAACCAACTTGACCCCTTCCACCCCAAAACTCAATGTTAGCGAGCCTCCAGAGTGTTTGGGCGAACGGACGAAACGCATCAAACCCTGGCGATGGACATTACAAGAAGTTGCATTCAACATTGAACTTTGGGGGCAAGGGGTTCGTGACAGTTACTGGCTCAAGGGTATTCTGTCCATCTACTTTTTCAAAGTGCACCGTCTGCATAATATTTTTAGTTTGAACATAAAATCCAACATCTTGATCTGTAGTTCGCTTGGATTGGATACTTTGCCCGTCTATGCCCGTCTACTGTTTCCATGAAGGCTGTGAGACACAACCTCCTCAACTTTCCGTGTTTGCCGTAGGGTGTGGACTGTTCTGCTGCATCTCAGTTTGAATGGTCAGGAAGCTCATGTGACATGCTGTTTTTGGAGGCTCCTCATAGCACTTTCAGAGGGAGTCTCACACGAAACGCTCCTCGTGGTTTCTCAACGCGTGCGTACCAATGTTGTCGCTGGCAGGCACTGAAACTGAAACGCACTGTGTCGGCACAGTAGATGAAGCTGGACATCTCCAAAGCAAAAATGACGACGTTTCTGCTTTCGTGTGCTGTCAGGCAACTTGCCATCTGAATTCCGCGTCCCAAATTTGTTGTAAAGTTAATCAATGAATCAAAGCACCTTTAAGGAAATTGACCTCTTTCACTGTCGCCGTCGCGCCCAGTACTGTATAGTTCTACACGTGCCTCATACTGCCATGTTTGGCTGAAGAGAAAGGGTGCCTATGATTTTGCGGTAGTTGTAGTTGTAGGCTTTTAGCCTGTAGATAAAGGTTACCAGCCGTATCGCCAAAGTGCCGTGCGCGCCACTTTGTCTGCCATCCCGCTGTTCCACCCAGGCACCTGCGCATAGCTGAAATGATGTGGCAGACCTGCTCGTTGTCGCTCCACTAGGCCAGCTGAAGCACCGGCCCTTGTGGATGCAAGGATTACCAGCAATCTAAGCCCACCCGACCCTCCATTCTTGCGAAGTCATGGCGATTCTGGTGACATCTCCAGCGCCGGACTGTGGATTCTGTGCGCCAGCAGTCCACCTCCCGTGTGGCCGCCAGCAGCAGTGAAAGCTCGCCCACCTCCACCGCCAACGATTGGTGGGCTCTGATGAAGTTTTGACGTTGCAGCTCACCAGTGCTGGCGCAAGCCTGGCCACAGTGGTCTTGGGGCGGAAGGTCCTGGTTCTGTATGGTCATGGGGACCTTGAAAGCTGGATTCCCCATCCATTGCGTGGCCAGAGTTATGGTGCCCCTGTTTTGACTCATATCATCTTGGCTTGGCTCATGCTTATCTGGATGAATGCTTACCTTGATGAGGCCGACGAGATTGTGGTGGTGACGGCCTGTTTCAGCTCGTTCTAGTACTAGTACAGCTTCGTCTTTCCCCCCCGTCACCTTCATTTGTTCCACGAAGGCAGGAAGCTTGCAGGCTCGAGGTTCTTCACGAACCCTGAGGTATGCATCGCAATCCTTCCAGTCACTGCCTGTTCTGAGGTTGGGTTGAAGCCTGGGAACCAACTACCCAAACATGGTCTCAGGCTTTCTCCAGAGTTGTGGTCAATGGGGAGTGGGATGGACACCGATATGGTTGAGGACTACGTGAGGAGTCAGAGATGATTGCAGCCTTGGGCCAAGGAGTCTTTCTGGTGTTACAGCTTTTTGGGGGCTGTGCGCTCCACTCCGTGAGGGCGCGCTGCATGCGGCCTGCAGTGGCCGAAAACCATAGTGCGAAATGTGGATCGGCGCGCTCCTGCGACCAAGTTGGCTTGGAGCCTCACGTCCATTTGAACACTGCAAACGACTTTGTGCATAGGCGCAGGCTGTTGTTGACAACGGCTGCAATGTTCTGCAACAGTTGGGTCTGACATGGCATGGTCTGTCTGCCGTTTTTGAGTTAGATTTGTCGCATATTGATCACGCGCTGCAATAAAAAACGGGTTTGCAGTGAGTGTGGCTGTCACATTGTGAGTGGCATGTTGTTGCGTAGCTAAAAGGTATTAGCTTCGGCGGCTTTGGGTCCGGCAGACCACAAACCCGAAAACTGAGCACTGAGCATGCAAGTTGGATTCGTGGGTGTTTTTCCTACGTGCAACAATCTTGTTTCGCGTAAAGGACCAGCGGCATCCTGGCGTGGAGAAATGCTGGTCAAGTATTGTTGTCAGCAAGCGCGACCACATGGTAACCCAGCGCAAGACATGTAACAACTTTTGAGCCGACAACGACCTGCTTTCGTTCAAGATAGCAACCGTCAGCAACAAAAATAACAGTGGAGGAGGAAAGCGACAGAAGCGATCACTGCACGACAAATGCAAAAGCAGGAGAAACAGGAAGGAAACAAGCAACGACAAGTGTCCACATGACAAACAACCATTGGCCCCTGACACTTTCCACCCACCCCACAACCAACAGTGTCGTAAAATCCGTTGGCGTGACCGTGGCTTTCCGGGGACACTTTTTCATATAAAAGGCGTGTACTAAAGAAAAAAGTGAACCCTAGTTGTGACATCAAATTGCCCGGTTCGTACTTGTAGTGCAGTTTGCCACAAAAAAGCCAGGTTGTATGTTTTTCTTTGCGCAGTTTGTACTGGCCACAGACATTGGTCTTTGTTGTGTCGGGCAGGTTTTAAAGTGTTTCAGACGGGGTCTGCGAACCAATGCGGAACCTGGAACAGAATTTACCGAGTTGATTTCTTCAATCACTCTTGTCAGCGATGCTCTTCCATGCTTTCAGAGCGTGGCTTTTTCATGCTTTCAGGGCGGTGTGCCGCAGGAACACGATGACGCAAAGCTGCGCTTTCTGGACAAAGAAGAGCTTAGAAGGGGAAAGAGTGAACTCCGCTGCAGTTCGGCTAGTTCATCAACAGCCCTAAAAGCGGCCGGAAGAGATCGTGGGAAGGCCGGCGAGCTATAGCAGGGTTAAGGAATTCCCGCAGGAGTGGACGTGTATATGTATATATATATATACATATATTATATTATATTATATTATATCATGTTATATTATATTATATTATATATTATTATACTATAATATATTATATATATGGCCCCAAGCCTTTCCACTTGGAGGCCAAGTGGTACGTCGCGAACACCACAAGTTAAAGGAGCTGATAGGCCAGAACGCGATCAAAGGTGAGTTCAATGAGGCGGCGCTACAAGGTCTGCGGACATTGCAAAGCCAGCTGGATTTGGGAAGATCGCCTGATCGGGCGGCCACACCTCACATGCAACCAATGTGGGGAGAGGTGGCAGACAGTCACCGTTCCGGATTTGAAAAAGACAGACGTGTCACATGGGCAAAATGGAACTACAATGGCACAGGCCATCAGTGGCCCAAGAAGACATACAAAGAGGCTTTGTTGGAGGCCCCACCAGGTCTTCAAGGAGGCCAAAAGAAGAGAAAGCCAAGGCGAGGAGGAGATGCAGGCCTACAGAAAGCACTGAAAGAACATTGGGACCAGCTTCCTGAAGCGTTCCGTAACCAATGCACGGCATTATAGGGCTTCAACAGGTGGAAACACCGGTGACACCAGACTTGCCGTCGCTCATCAAGGAGCATCTGCAAAGTTTACCGGCAGATCTGAAGGAAGCAGTTGAGAAGATTGTTGAGCCTGAGAAGCCGGAACCCACCATGGCATCCAAAGTGAAGCAGGCAGTTGGCACGCTAAAGCAGCTGTCGGAGCGCAAGACAAGCCTACAAGCAAAGGTGGATGCGGTGAAGGCTCAACACACACAGCTGCTACAAGGTTTGAAAGACCTGCAAGGAAAGATTGAAGTGGCTCAAAAGGAGTTGCAGACGACCACGCAGCAGTACAATCAGCAGTTAGAGCAGGAGAAGCAGAAGGATGCTGAATCAATGGCCGAAGATTTGACGCCTGAGGCGCTGGTCACGGCAATGGCTAGCATTGGATTGCAGGCCACATCGGCCCAAATCCAGGAACTAGCAACAAAGCTAGTCGAGACCGCAGCAAAAGGGCGAAAGTGTGGGTAACCACAATGGAGTGGTTGAGAACCAAGAAGGGGAAAACACAATCTTGCAAAGCAGCTTCAACTGGGGGTTGGTTGGAGCTCAAGCTGTCATGGAGGCACTGGCTCAGGATGAGGTGGTGCAACTCACCAAGCTCCAAGGGGCTTAGGCCACTATGGGACAAATTTGATGATGAGCAGCAGAATGATGCCTCTCATTTTCTGCAAGAGCTGGTAGGCTTGGCGGCTCCCACAAGAGTCAGCCCGGGCTATCACCAAGTGGACTATGCACAACAAGTCCATCAACGCAGAGCATTTCCAGTTCGTTTGATTTTCCCTGATCAGCACGGCTCGGAAGATAGGGGAATGGGCAAACACTCAGGAAGGGCAGGTCTTTGACGGACATGGGCTATGGGTGGCACAGATTGGCAGATACACCAAGGTCCAAGGCATGTGGACTAAGCATCATCGTCCCCTCCGAGCGCCGTCCATTTTCAATCTGCCGTACACCCTTGATGGCCACACCACAAGAACCAGTCAGTTCTCAGTTGTGGGATACCTTTGTCACTCAGGCAATGAGCATCAGCATGGTCATTTCTATGCTGTTTTCCTGTATAGAGGCATGAGTTGGCTGGTTGATGATGGTGCGTACCCCACAGTCATCTCACAGATCACGGAAACAATCAAGCAACAGATAGTTCAAGTTTGGGCAGTACCCTCAGAACTGCTGCTGCCAGCAAATGTGCCGCATGATGACCTGCACACAGTTGAAAAGAAACCGGAACCACCTGCCAAACGAAGACGCCAAGAAGGAGTGAGTTTTGAGTTTGCCAACGTTACCAACATGGGTCAACAAGTGAGGCAATGGTTGATCAGTAAGCCCAGAGTTCCAATATTTGTGGTTGAAACTCACCTTGGGCAAGATGATCGCAACAAGATGCTCCAGTGGATGACAGCGAGGGGCTTTGGAGCCATGGGTACAGCTGCCGCAGAGAGTGTCAAAGCACCAACGGCGGAATCATGATGCTTTTCCCGCCGGATCAACATGTCCATTTCGTGCACAAACAGATCATTGATGGTATGGGGTCATTTGGTCTTTTGAAGAGGTCGAGTTGGTCATGATAGCTGCATACTTCAAGTGTGGGGAAGGCATTCAAGGTCCCATCAACGCTGAGCTCTGGGCCGGTTTGATAGCCTTTGTCACCAGTATTCAATAGCCTGTTGTTATTCTGGGAGATTTCAATGTCACTCCGGAGACCTTTATGACAACCACAATAGGGCAGCATATGCAACTGCAGGTGTGTGCGACGGGCGAGGAAACTTGCAACACAGGCAATGAGCTTGACTGGGCTCTGGTCTCCAAGCACTTGGCAGCAGATCTGACAGGCAAGGTCAGCTGGATGGTGCCTTTCAAAACTCATGCCTTGATACAGTACAATCTTGCTGGGCACTATGAAGCCATAGCGGTGCAACAGTTGACCAAGTTTGGACCGGCGCCAAAGCTGGTTAATCCAGAAAAAACCTGGCATCAGACAGAGCCTCAGGAAGTCCAAGTTCAGTGGCTGCAACAGCACACAGATCCTCTCACCAAACAGATGGGTTCAATGTATCAGCGCATTGAGCGATATGTTCTGCAGCAGCTGGAACAACCTACGATGGGCCGGGGTCTCAAACTCCAATATGTCAACAGACCATTGCATGATGCTAGCAAGCCGTGGATCTGGAAAAGAGGCAGTCTGGCATTTGGAACCAAATGGAAGTCAGGCTACAGCAATTGTTGCTGCAACAAAACAGAGAACCTCGACATCAGGCACAGTTACAGAAACTGGGCTGGAAGCTGGAAGACAATTGGAATCCAGATGCTCCTCTCACATGTGAAGGATTCCGATTGCTTTTTGAGATGCTTTGGCGTCAGCATGATGAAGAGCACATTTATGTTTTGCTGAAATTTGCGAAGCAGTTGCGTGACCTTCACCAGACAGAAAGTTTTCAGAAAGAAACAGAAGAATACCGCCAATGGTTGACTCAGGCCGCGCATCATGGATGCAGGGGACTGTTCAGAACCTTGAAGAAAGATGAGCTGCCATTTTTGAGACCGTTTCAAGATCTTCCTAGGACACAACGGATGCCAAAGAGAGTCGAACAGTGGGGTGAGATTTGGAGTGTGCAAGAGCAGCCCAAGCCGATTGCATGCATGGAACAGCTCATCAGCAAAGGTCAGCAAGAGGCAAAGCAGTTGCCTTTCATGACTGACGAGCACATTTGGAGGACCATCAAATCGCTGTCAATCAAAGCTCCAGGATTAGATGGCATTGGTTTTGATTTCCTCAGGACTTTGCCGCGTGAAGCCATGAGAGACTTACGGGAGCTTTTCCAAATCATTGAGGAACAGGCCATGATCCCCAGCCAATGGAAAACCTCATTGTTTGCAATGCTTCCAAAAAATTATAGGACCGGATAACCCCACATGTGAACAACTTCGAAAGATTGAGGCTGCAGGGGTAAAGTGCGGAAGAGTGAGCGTGGGGAAGAGACAGGCGAGACAGATATAAGGCGTGAGGGTCTCTGTGTGTACGTGAGGTGTGTGTTTGTGTGTATGCGCTTGTTCGTCAGTGTGTATCAGTGTGTGGGTGGATGTATGCTGCTTGGCGCTTGTACTAAAGTTGTACTAGAAAGTCGCCAGTTCTCATCTTCCAGCTCTCCAGATACTCCGCGTACTAAAGTTGTACTACAAAGTCGCCAGGTCTCAGCTTCCAGCTCCACAGATTGCTCCGCGTACTACAAAGTCCAGTTCTCATCTTCCAGCTCCCCAGATACTCCGCGTACTAAAGTTGTACTACAA